TTGTGGAATTGGACAAATAATGCCCATCTTCCAATTTTCAACAATATAGTGATATACTATATATAGTACGTTGTTTCTTTTCACCCTTTTTCACTAAGGTAGAGAAAGTTTATACTACAGTTTAAAGCAATTATGTTTCTTTCAAAAATACAACTTAATATCCAATGGCAAAGTCATAAAATATTTTCGGCGAGCATAATTTAAACCAGACATTTGAAATGAAATTACAATCAATAATCTTTTATTTTCGTTTATCATTTGTGCCTTTTCTTTATTGAAGTAATCTTGTTAATAGAGTTTCAGAATGTAAATGTTATATAAGTATGGTTAGCGGGGTGTGTTGGGGCTCTTTTGGTGAGGGCATGTCGACGTGAAAGGTGCGAAACTCGTGGTCTCGTTTGGTTTGTTATGACTGTGCCCTTACCGACTGACGTGGTCAGAGAGCTGTTGAGGGTACCTCCTAGCGTCGACGGTGGAAGGGATGATGAGGTTGGCCTCGACTGAGGTAGGCAAAACCCGGATGTCCCCGAGGAAGACAGTATCTGAGGGCGACACCCGTTGCAGCTTCAGCTCTGTGATGTTGAAGAATCTTTGATGGGGATCTCCCTGTGAGCGTATAGTGTGGGAGAGGAATGTAATCGGTTTATGGAGGAGGTCCCTAAGTGGGTAATGGGGTCATACCTCTCTGTTTATGAACACAATGATTCCGACGGACGTAGTGTGTGAAGGGAGCAAAACACTCAATCTCGAGGTGTTGGGCTGTGGTTAAGGGCTTTTGGTGTTTCGGGAGCTTTTGTTACCACTTCCAATGGGGAGAACGCCTAGAAACTTGTTCTAGAGGGACTCTGCCGGAAGTTATGGAGAATATAATTCTCCGTCAGTCGCTCTGATAGAAACCAGAAATCCAGAGGAATTAGAATAGAGCACTTTGATCTACCCTTCTTCCTCCTTTCCCCTGTACCGTCGTCCCCTTTGAGAGGTTTGGGCAACAGTGTTTATAGGCCAGGATCGTGGTAAAAAGGGGAGGGAAGTTTTCCCGCCAGTCGTTTTGAATTTCAGTTGAAATCCCCCCCAAAGGTCTCCGTCGGTAAGACATTTCCAATGGGATTCAGGGGCAACTTTCGTGTGTCCTCAGAGGAAGGCTTACCCCAGCAGTGAATGTAGTAGGTCACTAGGCAGCCAGACATGGCTCTGCGGCCGTTTTGGGTGAGGTCAGAGAGTGGCAGCCACATGGTCAAGAGATTGCCCCCTCTCATTGGTGTGTATTCCGGCCTTTTATGGTTTTTTGAGGAAATGGGCTGCGTTTGACCCCTGGAAAGGCAGAAGGAAGTGAACGAAAGAAGAAAAGAAGGACGTGGAAAAACGTTGTTTTGTGTCTTAGGGCAAGGTAATGGACCAATAGGTTTTTCTACTGCAAGCTTAGGTAATTTGTTTTACTCTGTCTAATTTCATCCATAACCCACGTTATCCTAATTCCCTTATAGATCCAAGACCACCCCAAGTGGGCCAAGGATCTAATTGGGCCGGATAAAATGGGTCCGGTCACGTTCCTTGGCCTGCCAAACCACGGCCCACATAGAAGTCCCCGAATGTGGCTTGGGTCCACGTACCATACCTGGAGTCGTATTTATTGGATTTGGGCCGGGCCGATATCTTGTAAAATTTTGGGTATCAACACGGTGGAAATTAGTCAATTGGGTTAATTTGGGTTTAAAAGTGATTAATGTGATTTTAACGGTTTTGAATAAGCTTTTTGAAAAGATTAGAAAAAACCATCAAGAAGAAATAAGACCAAGATTTATAGTGATTCACCCTTGTTGTCAAGAGCTACGTCTACTGTGAGGAGGAAATGAATTTTTTACTATGCTATGAGAATCCCCCCCGGACTTGTCAATTTTACATGTATATATTTGCTCTATCCTTCATTAACCTCTGTCATTTCCATCATTACCTTCTCTCACATTATCTCCATATTTTTAGATAAAATCCTCGGTGGGTGAGGTTTCTACCAGTCAACAACAGTAGTCTTTCACTTACTTTCCCACCAACTTTGCTTGCTTGCAAGTCACGAAAGATATCCAGCAGGCTCAATTTTTATCGGGCTGCGTGCATTTGACTCCTTAAGCGCTCCTCAAGCCATCTCCGCTTACATCTGCTGAAGCGGTCGACCTCCTCCTTATCCTGACTCTTTGGTACGGTCGACCTCTTATGGGGGTGTTATTCTTAACTTGCGGTCAGCCTATATTGAATTTTATTTTGCGGGATACTTTATGCTTAGCTGGCATAGCTATTTAACGCCTTCAGCTGTGTTACGTGGCGCTCATCTAGTGTACGATGTAGGGTTTGAGACTTTACCCTACAATAAGTATGCTTCAAACACGAAATTTGGGGTGCATTTGACTTAAAAAAAAACGGAATTTATTGCAATTTGACAATTTTAGGAAGAAAACCAGAACATTATGTTTATATATAGACTTTTTTTTTTTGCGCCATTGTCCTCTGAATTTTAGAGTTTGGTAAGTTAGTCCTTAGAAAAAGATTGACATTTGCCTCCTTAAATTATGAATGTCTTGCACTGAAGGTCCTGTTGCTAACGCCCCTTACATTTTGAAGGGTTCACATGTCTTAGAAGGATATTAATTTTCATCTGTCTTTACGTTAAATTCAATTTTAAACATAAAGCTAAGGATTAATTAAAAAATTCTTTTTAAACTATAACCCTTGTAGCACTTTATCTCATGATCTTTAAAATATAATATTCGTCTCTCCTAAATAATGAACGTTAACAAAAACCCCTTTTCTCTTTGGTTTTTTTTTTATAGCAATTTTACTTATTTATTTATTTATTATTATTTTTTTTTTGTGGGAAGACAGATCATAATATTGCTACTATATTTGAGTCTTATGGGTTTACCCTTAGAAATCATTTTTTCAGAAACAAGGGTTAATCTATTTCAGTTGTCAATTTATTTCAACTTATTGGCACATTTGTCCATCTATTTCAAATAATTACAGGGCTGTATAAGATCAAATCAGAAAAAGCCCACTTTACAGAAACACCGCAAGTTTAAGATTTAGATTGACATATGTCAGAAATAAATTATTATAGAGAATGTCACAATTAAAAATACTTAAAAATTATGAAATCTTTAAAAATCACAAATATATACATAAAAAGCCATAAAATTCACAAAATTTAAAGATATTGAATCAAATACACAAAAAATACGATCATAATTTTACTCAGTACACAAAATTTAAATGATATCACTGTTACATATTTTGTAATAATTTTAATGTCCATGACAAAAGTCAATCAAACCTTAAAAATCATGAAATATTGCCTAAATATCTCCTACAAATTTATGTATTTCTTTGCTTTTTTTTTTCTTTTTTTTTCCTGGTACCATTTTTACGATTTATAGACTTGCATATAAATAATTACGATACCTACATTTCTATGCCTTGTACACTTATGGAAAGCATTCTGCACTGAATTAAAGTGCAAAGTACCTTAAATAAATTATCTCAGAAAAAAAAGTACCTTAAATTTAAATCTTAAATTATAAATAAGTGAAAATATAAATGCAGAACAACTATTTGATTGCGTGTTTATTACAGTACAAGCTTAATTCCACTATTACAAAAACCTCTCAACTTTTCTGTTAAGAACTGCTGCATAGTCATTTTCTTTTTTAGAAAAAGAACTGCTTCCTAGTTCCTTCCTCTTTTGTCAAACCAAAAGATTAAAGTAAAACGACATAATTATTTCTCATTGGCTAGAAAGAAATAAGGCAAGTTTTTTTTTTTTTTTTTTCTCTTTCTTTAAGGCGTATCTTTTTTAGAATAGACTTGAGTTCGTAAACTACAAGTCCAACCCTTTGTGCACGTCAAAAGTTTGTATATGCATCTGCAGAAATTTTTTTATAAGAGTATGAAATAATTTTTTTTTAGGAAAGTATGAAATAATGAGCGTGTTTGGAACTCGTTCTAAAATGATTTTATTTTATTTTTTTTATGAAAATGAAAATGAAAACGTTTTTAATATCAGACAGAAATTATTTTTGAAAATGCGTTTAGTAGTTTTATCAAGATATTATTTTTAGTATAAAAAACTCATTAATGTCTCTCTCTCTCTGTTCGAGAGAGGAGAAAATAAAAATAAAAAATGAAAAACGACTAAAAGTCATTTTTCATTTATCTCTCATTTTATACTAAACTAAAAAATCGTTTTCATTTTCGTTTTTTATCTTTATTGCACCAAATGTCATTTTGAAAACGTTATTATTATTTTTTCTTAAAAAACGTGAAAAATAAAAATGAGATCAATTCGAAACACGATAAATATTTCATTAATAGGATTCACTAATGAACTGCCAAATTATATTTTATTAAAAAGGTGTTGTAATTTAACAAAATTTGATTGAAAATTTATTTCATATGCTACCACATAAAGATACATGAGAAAAGAAAAAGAGAAAAGACGTACCAAATAAACAAAAACTAAGAAGGAGCGTGAGTTTCACGTGCCCCTTACGCACGTTTGCTCAAGCTATCTCCCGGTTTAGTGGGGAACAAGCAAAACTCCCTAGAAATAGGAAAAAAACCGGTGATCACCGTTAATAGTAAAATACCTTCCCGGTTAATCCGGTAACCCACTCTCCTCTCCCTCCGCAAGCATTACCGTTTGGCGGCGATTCGCCACCACTACAACCGGTTAATGACAAAAAGACACGAGAGAGAAACGTAGCGCAAAAAGAAAAAAAAAAAAAAACACTACTTGGATTATATTTATATTCCTATTTATTGATTAATAAAAAACAAAAGAAACTTTCAAAAAAAAAAAAATTCCTCTAATATATTGCTTATTTCTTGAGCAAAAAAATATTGCTTATTATTATTTTTAAGAAATTCCTTTAAAAAAATATAATCATCAATAACAAATAACAAAAACCAAAAAAGAAAAAAGAAAGAAAGAAAGATGCAAGGAAAGAAAGAAAAAGCAGCAGATTAACATTACTCAGAGAGAGATATTACAAACATAATTTTTTTTTTTAGACAAAAGAAAACCAACGATTGGTAGAGAGAGAAAGTGAAGGATTTTTAGAGAGATTATTGTTTTTTGTTTTTTTTTCCTTCTCTCACTTTGATGTGCTTCTAATTGTTTGGGGGGGCTTTGAGATTGTCTCCATCTCATTTTCTATTCTTCGAACCGCTTCTTCTTCTTTCTCCTCTTCTTCTGGTGAGAAAAGAGAGAGGAAAAACCTAGAGATTTTCTCGTGAAAGTTTGGCGTAATTTTCTCGAATTATCGTAGGGACGATCGGAGCTAGGGTTTCGATTCTGGAAATTGTGAAGTTGGGGTTGGATTCGGGGAAGTCGATGGGAAATGTTGAGTAGGAATGCTAATTCGTCGGAATTCTAGCTCGGATCTCGAAAGTAGGGCTCGAATCGAAGGGTTGAAGAGAAATGGATGTGGATTCGTCAATGGTGCCGGAGAACGATCACGATCCAGCGGCTCAGAATCACGGCGCGACGCCGTCTCCGCCTGCCACGGAGAGGGAGCAGCTAGCCGAGCAGTCTCAAGCCGGAGGTGGATCTCCTGCTCAGCAGCCGCCAGCGCAACAACAGCAACCAGTGGCGGCGCCGGCCCAGCAGCAGCAGCAGCAGAGTGCCGGAGCCGCCGCGCAGGCGCAGCAGACGCCGGTGATCGGCCCGCGGCACGCCCCGACCTACTCGGTCGTTAATGCGATTTTGGAGAAGAAAGAGGATGGGCCAGGGCCGAGGTGCGGCCACACGTTGACGGCCGTCGCGGCGGTCGGAGAGGAGGGCACTCCGGGTTACATCGGCCCCAGGCTGATTCTATTTGGTGGTGCCACAGCGCTTGAGGGCAATTCGGCGGCTTCGGGGACGCCTTCGGCAGCAGGAAGCGCCGGAATCCGTACGTTGTTCTATGTTTTATTTTTACTCTAATTTGATAACTTCATCAACCGTATGTTCTAATCAAGTTAACTGAAAACACACAGCATTAAGTTAAGATGCATGTTTTATTGTCTATGCTTGTTAAGCTGAAGTGGGTGATTTGTTAACCCTAATGTTGTCGATTGTTATGGTTGTTCTGTTGTTGTTTAGAGCATTTTGAAATAAGTCATCCTTCCATTGGAAATCTTTTTTCTTCGGCTGGTTTATCAAAAATTGAAGGCGAATGATTTTTTGTTCAGTTCATTTGTTTCTTGCAAAGTACAAAATCATGCTGTATGAGTCTACCAAAAATTATTATTTGGAAAACACCAATAATTGTTGACCGAGACAATTAGTGCTGTTGTATCATTAATTGTAATTTAAGTTAGGTGGGGACCTGGGATCTTTTATGGAATTGATGTTTTCGTTACTGGAGTTGCATTTCAGTTATCAGTTAAGATTTTGAAGTTTCAAGTACATTTGACCCTTGGTTTTACTTTAATCCAATTTCATTCATGTGTATGACACTGGTTTCTTTTTTATTGTGATCTTTAAGCTATACAAACTTTGTTGGTAGGTAATTCTGTACTTCTGTTAAAATATTCTGTCTGCACAAATATTAGATTTTTAGTAAGCCAAGTGTGCTTGTAGCTCTTCATTTTAAAGCAAGACATTGTACTTCTAACCTTGTGTAGCTGGTGGGGTAAACCCACACCATATATGCGATATGATTTGTTTAAGTTTATTGTTTTGGTGAAGTCGTGAATAATGGTCAGCATCAACCACCAGATGTTTTGTTTACTTCTATACGTGATTATTTTTACGGATTATCAATTTTGAGTTATGATTTTAGTGAAGTTGTAAATAACAGTCAGCATCAACCACCAGATCTTTTCTGTTTATTAATGTTATCCCTAGTCTCTTAATTTTGAGCACCTGGTATCTGGAAACACTTCCACGCTGCTAACGAATTTCATGGAAAAGCATGGGCCACTTGATACGCGTATCCTCTTTATTGTCATCAATGCTTTGTAACCAGTGATAATATTAAACTTGTATAACATGAAGATTATTGTGCTTATAATCAAATCTAAAAGGCATACAAAATGGAAACTAATGCGTTCTGGTGGCCATTTTGGTTTTTACTTGAATTTCAGGACTAGCAGGTGCCACAGCTGATGTGCACTGTTATGATGTGTTGACGAATAAATGGTCCAGGTAAGATGGCTATACAAATGTTTTGAATTGTCTGCCACTGTTCCCCTTTGGTCCTTTTTTCCGTCCTTCTACATTGATGCTTGAGACAAAAGTGAAACTGTGAGACTACTTTGCAGAATCACACCCTTTGGAGAACCGCCTACACCTAGGGCTGCACATGTAGCAACTGCTGTTGGAACTATGGTTGTTATTCAGGTTTGCATATGGCATATTGTCCTTTTACACTTTTGATATTGATATCAAATAATTTTGTCCTTTTATGTTATTGATATTGATATCAAGTAATTTTTTTCAGTTGATTTATTCTCGTTCCTTATTACTTTCTCGCTGGAATGTTTTGTGATTGTACAGGGTGGAATTGGTCCAGCCGGTTTGTCCGCTGAGGATCTTCATGTTCTTGATCTCACACAGCAACGGCCAAGATGGCATAGGTCAGCCTAATGAATAATTTGCTTGGCTAAACTTGTACTCTCCAATACTTGTTAACTGGAGCTAATTTTCTTGTAGAGTTGTTGTTCAAGGCCCTGGACCAGGGCCACGTTATGGTCATGTGATGGCGTTGGTGGGGCAGAGATATCTCATGGCAATTGGTGGAAATGACGGTAAGCACTTCATGGTTTTGCTTTTCCATGTACGTTCTTTGAATAAGAAGAATAATAATTATCTTCTCTGAACACAATGAATTAAAATGAAAAGGGAACTGGTGTATGCTTTCCAGGAAAACGACCTTTAGCTGATGTTTGGGCGTTAGACACAGCTGCCAAGCCTTATGAGTGGCGGAAGTTGGAACCAGAAGGAGAGGGTCCTCCACCATGCATGTAAAACTCCATCCTTCTCTTTCCATCCATCTATCTATCTCTCTTTTCCTATCTCTGGGTATCATTTTGAAAAGTAAAATTGGGCATGTTATGTTATCAAATATAGTTTCACTCCAGTGGCATATCATATGTGCGCACCTTGTCGAAGTTTAATTGATGTTTTATGCATGCTTTTGTCAAGAATGCATGAATTTGAGGTTTCTTGTTGAGGTTGGAGGATAGTGTTCAGGATAAACTCGCGAGTACAGAGTTGGTTTTCTTTGGAAAATAATGAGTGAGTTTTTGAAGTAAATAGACTTCAATGAATGCTTCTCGGGGATGCTTGAATTTTCTGTGCAAATAGCACCAATTGATAAAATGTTGAGACATATGGCCAAAACATTTAAAAATCAAAGGATATCTGATTTCTTTGGACGTGTAAGGTTGGAGATATTCAAGGTTGAACATGAGATGAATAAATTCTAATTTGGTGTAAAATTTTTTTGTTTTATAATTCTGTGACATATAGATAGAAAAGTTAGAAGAGTTTCAACTCTTTCCTTGACAGTATACACTTAATTTATATCTTTTCTTCGGGAATAAATTTATTATTTCTGGTTCATCTGCATCATGTTGAAGTTTAACTTGTTCTGTTTGAGTTCGACTAATTGAAAATAGATTTTGTCATGCTTTTCCGGTGGTGAGAAAGCTGGTTTGCTTCCATTAGAAAAGATACTGATTGACAAACTTCTATGAATACCAGTCTCGTGTACACTCAGAATATTGAGAATGTTGTTGCATTGGCAATGGTATTGGTAGGGGTCTCTTCATTTGGTTATAGTGTTGTGACCATCGATTCTCTCTATTTTTTCCCCCCAGGTATGCAACTGCAAGTGCACGCTCTGATGGTCTTCTTCTCCTCTGCGGGGGGAGGGATGCAAATAGTGTGGTAAGATAAATTTTTTTAGTTGCATAATTTATATTCATAATTTATTTTATTTTATTTTTTTGCTTTTGTGTGTGTGCGTGCGTGCGTGTGTTTTATTTTATTTTCTTTTCTTGGGCTTTTGTACAATATTTGTTGCATTTGTGGTTTGCATAGAATGGGTTCAAGAACTTACTATCATTTGGTCTCTGTGTGGGATTTTACTTTGTTGTGGTGGATTGTAATTATGTACAGAAAAAGGCTGGAGTAGTTTATTATTTGTTTTTTTCGGTATTTTTTATTTTATCTTGTTCTTGATTTTTTTCTGGTGATATATATTTTCTTATTGTACCTCCAAATCTGAGGTACAGATCTTGGAGAAAGTGGTCCTATTCTAGTTAACTGTGTTCACATTTTAAAGGAGTGAACTTTAGTTTGCGTGGGCTTGCGCGCACGCTTGTGTGTTGGCGTCCTGGATTGCTTGGAGGCCTGTCTTCTCTCTCCAAAACCTTTTTGGTTTTCCTTTTATGACCACAAATCAGTCGAGAACTTTCCTATACTATGTTTTATATTTTCCAATAAATTATAAAGATTATGTTATTGGTAGATTAACGTGATACTTTATTTGATAAGTTTTTAATCAGTTCAATCTTGTGCCCGTATCTTCCTTAATTACCAATTAGAGGTCATTTGTAATACGGTGATTTGAAAAAAAAAACACGCATTTATGGATTTAAATTTATAGACTTGCACATGATTGAACTAGAAGCTTTTAGATCATGAACTTCAGTATTTTGTACATGCTCAAAATTTTAGGAGCACTAGGATGCTGCATGTAAATGTACCGTGAAGTTTTATGTTTTTATTGAAAGACGGGGTAGCTTTGATTATTCATCTTTATCGTAAAGTCTAGGACTTTTGTGGGTGATACCTTGTTTGTCTTAAGAATCATATATCGACATTGAAGCAGTGTTTTAGGATAAATAGTTACACTATTTGGTTCCATTTGCAGCCATTGGCTAGTGCATATGGACTTGCTAAACATAGGGATGGACGCTGGGAATGGGCTATTGCTCCTGGGGTTTCACCATCTCCAAGATATCAGCATGCAGCGGTGAGTTTTAATATCCTTTGATTTTATTCCTTCATCTACTTAATTATATACTTTTCTTGACAAGAATGTTTTAGAATGATCAATCACTTGTATTTATTGTGATGCTAGGTGTTTGTTAATGCACGACTACATGTGTCTGGGGGAGCACTGGGTGGTGGGCGAATGGTAGAAGACTCCTCCAGTGTTGCAGGTATACTCTTGATTACGGAATATGGATTGCATCTTTAAATTTTCTTCATGGTATGCTTGAGTTTCAAATTTACATGTACATGTGGGTGTTGGGTTGTACTGTCATTATTTTCTGTTTCAATTGTTTCGTTTAGTTCTGATGATTGCTGACTATCTATTGGAACTTTTTTCCTTAAAAAAATTGTGTTATCTATCAGAAAATTTTTCCTTTTAAATTGAGAATAAGGTTTCAATTCCTTATAGGAAGACAATAGTTTGTTCTAGTAAAGTGTAAATCTGACAGTACTCTCTTTGTGTCTCCTATCTGTAGTGTTGGATACTGCAGCAGGTGTTTGGTGTGATACAAAATCTGTAGTTACAACCCCCAGGACAGGCAGATACAGTGCTGATGCTGCTGGTGGAGATGCTGCAGTTGAGTTGACAAGGAGATGCAGGCATGCCGCTGCTGCAGTTGGTGACTTAATCTTTATTTATGGAGGTTTACGTGGTGGTAAGACATGAATGTATTTGGTAACGGCGGATGTTTTTAGAATCTGTTTTAGATCAAAAGCTCATTGACCAGGAAAGAGTTGTAAAACTAATTCATTTTCCCCCAAAAAAGATGTAAAATGATTTTGACTTTATAATCTAGCATGATCTCATGAATGCGGCATTTCAGTTTCTGCTGAATGCTGCTCCCAGTATACCACGATAAATGATAAGCCATTACAAAGTTCTGCACAACCCACTCTCTCGGCTAGTTTAATATTTGAACTACATGATACAATCTTGTAAAAAATATTTTGAACTACATGATTGTTACTCAATATATTGCACAATTTTGTAATTTTGTCACTTAACAAAGATTTTCTTTTGTTTGTTCTTTTTTTTTTTTTTTTTTCATTTTCTTTTATTTTTGTTTGTTGTTCTGTTGAACAAAAGTTCCTTTTCTTGAAAAAAAAAAAGAAAAAAAGAAAAAGGTTTAAAGGGTATAAGTCCATAAATTGATGAATCAGTTAGTACAAAACACACGTTTGGAGTATTTAGTATAGCAATTCATGGGCTTTAGTCTGTTTTGAATGATCTTAAAGCATTTGTTTTGGATGGCCATCGACATCTTCACCCTCTTTGGATCATTAGGTTGACATTGCCATCTTACCTTGGTGGACTTATATAATTATAGCAATGTAATGTGGTCCATTATATTGTAGGGGTTCTGCTTGATGACCTACTTGTTGCTGAAGATCTCGCTGCTGCTGAAACAACAACTGCAGCATCGCACGCTGCAGCAGCAGCTGCAGCATCTAATGTACAAGCAGGCCGTTTGCCTAGTAGGTATTTCATTGATGATAGAACAAGGCAGCCACTGCCTGAAGCAGCCCCTGATGGTGCAGTGGTGGTGGGTAATCCTGTTGCGCCCCCTGTAAATGGTGACATGTATACTGATATAAGCACTGAGAATGCCATGCTCCAGGGATCACGGTAAGCTATTTTGGTCCTTATACATTGGATAATTGATTGCTTGTCCTGTTTCTTCATTGAAAGAGATGCTGAATTTGGATTACTATGTAGGAGAATGAGCAAAGGTGTCGAGTATTTAGTTGAAGCATCGGCAGCAGAAGCAGAGGCAATTAGTGCCACATTGGCCGCTGCTAAAGCACGACAAGTCAATGGAGAAGTTGAGCTACCTGAAAGAGACCGTGGTTCAGAGGCTACCCCCAGTGGGAAGCAGATATCTACCTTGATCAAACCTGATTCTGCTGGCGCAAATAGCATTCCTCCTGCTGGAGTTCGGCTGCATCACAGAGCTGTCAGTCTTAAAATTTGATTGCTACTGTGGATAGTATAGCTAGTTTTACATGAAAACGTTCAAACAAATGTGAACTTCCACTTCTTTCACATGCATTTTCCAGGTGGTTGTTGCTGCTGAGACTGGTGGAGCTTTGGGTGGCATGGTCAGACAACTTTCAATTGATCAGTTCGAAAATGAAGGCAGGCGGGTAAGCTATGGGACCCCAGAAAGTGCAACTGCAGCAAGGAAATTATTAGATAGGCAAATGTCTATAAATAGTGTGCCGAAAAAGGTATGGCATGCATCGTAGGAATGGTATATGTATCCTATAAATCCGTGTATTCTTATCAAATTTTTTGTTCTCTCTAATGAGGTTGTTCTTTTCTCGAGCAGGTAATAGCACATCTTTTAAAACCTCGTGGCTGGAAACCTCCTGTTCGCCGGCAATTTTTCTTAGATTGCAATGAAATAGCAGATCTTTGTGATAGTGCTGAGCGGATATTCTCTAGTGAACCAAGTGTCTTACAACTTAGGGCCCCTATTAAGATATTTGGTGATTTACATGGGCAATTTGGAGATCTCATGCGCCTTTTTGATGAGTATGGTGCACCTTCAACTGCTGGGGACATTGCGTAAGTCTCTTGATTATTATTATTTTGTTTAGGAGAAAGAAATTTTATCACTGAATGATATTACACTAGCAACTTGAGGGTAATCATAAGATAACCTCACATAAAGTACAAAGGTCTTGATTAACATAAATCCCTTCATATCAATTCTGGTGTTTTGTTCTAAATTAAAAATATCTTGTTTGGCAAGGGCACTCCTTGGTCAACTTGATTCACCTTAGGTTTGTAGTCAATCTTCATAACGTGGAGCCTTTTTTTCTCCTGTTGGTGGGAACTGTGCTTGGCCATTTAGTACTCAATTTTGATTTTGATTTCTCCTTCTAGAATCATATAGATATATTGTACCTTTGTTTCTGTTTTCGATGAGACATAACTCCCATTGAAAGGAAATTGGTCAAATTGATAGTTAAAAGAAGAGACAAAGGGGAACATAAGACATCATCAGAACCTCCTTGAGCCTAGAGGTGTCCTTCAGAATAATTTCAATGGAGGCCGCCCTCAATGTTGCAATTTGAAAATGAATTGCGTTAACCACATACATTATTGATTGTCTTTATCTGATATATGGTTTCTAAATTGACAATATGTAAAGATTAGAGCATACTGCATTGCAACCTTCATGGGAAAATAAGAGCTTAAGCGTGTTAACTTGGATCGTCAAGACTAGCAGAAAATGACATATGTTGATCGTTTGATTGCCTGCTGTTTGCATGAATTCTCTTATGGCTTGTTTGTATTCATATTGAAGGGGAAAAAAAGTAGAAAAAATACAAAGAAATTTGACCAAAATGAGCTGAAACCCAGAGCAATGTTGGAAGTTCAGCATCAGATTGGCATGGGATTTTTTTTCTCCTTGCACATTATTTCGCAATTTGAACCACAATTCAAACCTTTTGCTACAGTGTTTTCTCTCTTTTAAAAATTTAAAATTTATGCTCAAACCCATGAACTGAAGGGTTCTTAACATTTGTGTGTTTATTTTGGGGAAGAAACTGACATAGTGGATAAAGAGAAAGACGGAAAAACAAAAAGGTGAATTTGGCCAAAATGAGTTGAAACCTAGAGCAGCTAATGTTGGAAGTTAGCAGTCAGATTGGACTGGTTTTTTCTTCTCCTCGCACAATGTATTTGTGTGTTCTTTTTTGTTTTGTTTTGTTTTTTTTATTTTTTATTTTTTTGGACGTCTTTAGTCTTTTCCTCACAATTTTATGTTTCAGCATGCATTTATGGTGCTTGTGGTACTGATTTTATATGAATGACTATCAGATATATAGATTATCTCTTCTTAGGAGATTATGTTGACCGAGGCCAACACAGCTTGGAAACCATTACTCTTCTGCTTGCTTTGAAGGTATTAGTTGTCTTCTGCGGTGTATTTACATTTTTGGTGCCGATACTTACTGGCCAAGATCATTTTACGATTGTGGAATCTTGCAGGTTGAGTACCCTCAAAATGTACATTTAATTCGTGGCAACCATGAAGCTGCAGATATAAATGCCCTTTTTGGCTTCCGAATTGAGTGCATTGAGCGCATGGTACTGTATGACCTATATTTGATATTGCCCATAGTTTTCTAATTCAACCAGTTTCATTTACTTGCTTCTTAATATGTCAACAGGGAGAGCGGGATGGAATTTGGGCATGGCATCGAATAAACCGTTTGTTCAATTGGCTTCCCCTGGCAGCTCTTATTGAGAAAAAAATTATTTGTATGCATGGTGGTATTGGTCGGTCAATAAATCATGTGGAACAAATTGAGAATCTTCAGCGTCCGATTACAATGGAAGCCGGTTCAATTGTGCTTATGGATTTATTGTGGTGAGTACATATCTATGATTTTCTTTTTGTGATAATTTTTTGGGTGCTCCCTTACAAAAAAGTTCACATGTTCACTCAATTAATTATTGACATTTAACATTGTTCTTCCTTAGGTCTGATCCTACAGAAAATGACAGTGTTGAAGGATTGCGACCAAATGCTAGAGGTCCTGGGTTGGTTACTTTTGGGGTGAGTTTGTTCATTTTGGCTTTGACGTGATTATTGTTGTTAAGAGTTACCTCCGCAATTTTAAAAATTGACAATGCTTGAAAAAACAAAATTTTGGTTTTGTGTGGTCAAATGATGACTCAAAATTTATTCCGTCCAAAAAACAAATATTATGCTCGTCTTTTTTCTTCCCCCTCCCCGTTTTAACAATTAGAGATATCCAAGATGGAAAAGGTTGGCAAGTTTCATTTGCGATGGGTAAATACTAAAAGCTACAATTGTTTACGCTATCTGAAAGAGTTTGGTTTTTTTCAGCCTGATCGTGTCATGGAATTCTGCAATAACAATGATCTTCAGTTGATTGTCCGAGCACATGAATGTGTAATGGATGGCTTTGAGCGTTTTGCCCAGGGACATTTGATTACACTTTTCTCTGCCACCAATTACTGTGGTATGTTCTCGGTATCATAACGTTCTGTTCAGTTTTTTGAGCTCCTTTTATTTAGTTTTTCACGCTCTGCTCCTGCTGCGTTTAACAGGTACTGCGAATAATGCTGGGGCGATCTTAGTTTTAGGTAGAGATCTTGTTGTGGTTCCAAAACTCATTCATCCCCTTCCACCAGCTATTTCATCACCAGAAACATCACCAGAACGCCATATTGAGGATACATGGATGCAGGTATTCCATATAAGTGCACACAAAATTTCAGAGTTTTATCTTAAAACCTATACCGATTTTCTTGAGTATTAATCCTGGTTTGGTAAACCAACAAGCAGGAGTTGAATGCTAACAGACCTCCAACGCCAACGAGAGGCCGTCCTCAAGTAACAAATGATCGAGGCTCCCTTGCTTGGATATAGTCAATTGTTCTATATTTGTTTCCACAGATTTATTCGGAAAGCTTATACTTCCGCCTTGGGTTTCTGGTGTCCTGTATAGAGCTTGATGCTATGCACAAGAATGAAATCTCTTCCAGAAATGGGATTAAAGGCTTTTTGAGTTTTCGGTTCTTGCCATTCAATTGGTGTGCCTTTAGATGATGAAAAGATGCAAATTCCGGAACCAGGCTGCAGGTGGCGGGTAGGTTTACTTATATTGACGTGCTAAAAAGTCGCAGTTGATCCACTCACCTTTGTAAATTGAGCCACAGGCAGGTAGAAATCAGTATTTCGATGCTCTTCCTTGGGTTGGTAGTGCCGAGTATTTTTCTCATTAATTTATATATTTTTTATTCCTCGTGTTAGGCCTATTTTTTCTTCGCTTCTCTTTTTGAGAGGACATACTTGTGGTGAGATATATAAAATGTTAGAATCTTTGTGAGCGTCCTTGTATCATAGAGGTGTTGCTTTGTGTATTTACATCTCTGCTTTTGTACAATGTAACATTTTGTGTGAAGAAGCAACCTTTTTTGTCCGACATGCAACGCAAAATTATGTCAAGTTTTGGTCTTTAGAGGATATGGAAGCTTTTATATTCTGCAAATTGCCGGATTTATGTTTGGTGTATTCTGTTGTTGTTATTATTATTATCATTGTTCAGTTTTCTCATTCTATCTTTATTCCCTTACTGTTGAGATTCAATCAAAGCATAGGCTCAATTTGAAATTGCGGTTTTGAGAGTAGGCCAAAAGTCAAAAGTTTTTTTTTTTTTTGAAAAAAAAAACCAAAATCTATTGTTAATTGTAAAAGAACATTGGTGTTTACCAAATAATTGTATATGCTTACCAAACGAGCAAGTTGTATTGTGCTAAGCCAATTTCCTTCAAACCTATTCCCTGACGCACGCCTAAGCGATGAGGTAACGGGAATGGAGGTTGAAGAGAACATTGGCTTAGTTTGGTATTATTTTTCTCTTTTAAAATTAATTTCTGTTTGTAGTAAAAGTTGATTTTAGTATTTGATTAATCTCTTTAAAAGTGTTTTTTTAAAGAATCTACAGTCAAAATTAGAAGCAGTCCAAAAATAACTTAGTTTTTAAATTTTATAAGAATCAGAATAGTACAATTAATGAAATTTTCATAATACTCATAATATCTCTAATGAAATTTAAAATTTAAAATTTTCTTAATTTAAAATTCAGACTTATAATATAATAATACAATAATATAATATATTGTAATAGTAATATTGTAACAAATAATATCATAATTATATTAATAACTTTAATATTATTATTTTATCATATAATATGATATAATAATAATAATAATATGATATTATAATTGTAATTTTTAATTATATTATAACTGAAATATTATTATTTTTATGTAATATTATAATATTGTAGCTATATTAACCATTTTAATAATATTATTATATTCTATATCATAATTATATAATATATTATATAATAATAGTTTTTTATTATATTAAACATAATAATAAATATATATTATATTATAAATATATATTATATTATAATATAATATAGTCGTAATTTTTAACTATCAACAGAAATTCAACCTCATAATTTATCAAACGCTAGTACACTGATTTTGAAACCAACACAGTTAGTATAATTATAATTTATCAAACACTAAACTATTTTTTGTAACAGCTGCTTTTTCTTTTAGTACAATTAAAAATAATTGTGTTAAAAATCTACAAAGAATACCAAACTAAACCATTGGCTGGTTTGTTAGGACTCAGAGAAGGGAAATAAAAAAATAAATAAGGGAAAGTCTTTGGTAAAGGGGCGTACTTGCCCTTTACTGGTGGGGTGATATTGTCATCCAATCAAATGGTTAGAAGACATGAAGGAATATCCAGCTATAATAACACCTTCCACATCTGATCACATCTTTCTTTTTACGGAGACCCTCTGCTCGTGAAACGAACGGAGCTCAGCCGCGATCATCGAAGTGGACGGAGCTCGGACTGGTCGCGTGTCACGTCGTCGATTACCACATCCACATCGCGAATCACACCCAGGTGCTTGTCGGTCGGAGTTGAAGAAGAAGAAGAAAAGACTGGTGCTTGCTGATTTGGTCCTTCGAGTGCCCAAATCTGCCGGGAAATATCATTTTGTTTGTTTCTTGGATTTGTCTAATGAATTGTTTCAAATTGCTTTGATTGTTTGGTTCTTGTAATTTTTGTCCCATGAAGTATGTCTGATGAAGATTAGAAGATAATCTTTTGTAATTTTTTTTTGAATTGCTTGGATTTTTGTCGGAGCCTTGCCAGTCCCCAGATCTGCCCTGCCTCCCAGCAATCATCTCCATCCTGCTCCCCATCGGCGCCTCTCCTTTTCCCCCACGCCGCTTGCTCCGGCGACTCCGAGAGAGTCTGAAACAAGAAGATGTTTTTCCCTGTTTTGCGATCGTTCTGCTTCTTGTTTGGAACTTGGGAATGTGGAGGAAAATGGAGAGAGAGAGAGAGAGAGAGAGAGAGAGAGAGGGAGAGAGAGAGAGAGAGAGAGAGAGAGAGAGAGGATTTCGGAATTGTTCTAATGCATTTGTTTTGTTTTGTTTTTTCTTTATCTTGATCACATTGATTTTTCTGCAATGAAGATTCTTTTCTAATACCCTTTCGTTTTTTGAATGATTTGTACTCTATAGTACGAGACGTATGCGTGTTTGGAGATACCTTCTGATGGGTTTAGCGGTGCTAGATTTTCACTGTGACGAGCAGCACGCCGGAGGTGGTGGAGCAGGTGGCTGGCGACGAGTGGTGGAAGTAGACGACGATCATTTTTTTATAACTTTTTTTTTTTTTGGTGAGAACAAGTTTTGTAATCTGGTGGAGAAGGTTTTAGATTAATTGGGTACTCCTTTATCTGTTTCTACCGTCCGATTAAAATCTAAATCTGATGGCTCTTATCACGCACCTTACCGGCAAGGGAAAGTACATCCCCTTACCATAGATTCTCCCGATAAATAATTTGCTCGTTGATGTTGAGAATCTAAAAGTGATTATTTCCACGAATTTATGTGAAGTTCCTTAAACTTGTGTTTGGTACTTGGTACGCCTCGTAAAGGGACGAAAACAGAAAGAGAAAATTGTTCAATTTATTAAGGGACAATTTAGGCTCTGTTTATTTCACCATTTTAAGTTAAAAATTTGAGTTTTATTACAGTAAAAAATTCTCAGAAACAATCACATTTAATTTTTTTACTATAGTAAAAAGCTCTCACATAAAGTCACATCTAAACTCAAATTAAAAACTCAAATTAGCGAACTAAACAGACCCTTAGTTTGCTGATTCAAGTTTTTTATTCGAGTTAAAATGTGATTTTATGTGAGAATTTTTTACTGTAGTAAAAAAGTTAAATGTGATTGTTTCTGAGAACTTTTTACTGTAACAAAACTCGAATTAGTGAAATAAATGCTCCCTAAATGTATGAGTTTAAATTTTTACTCTTTAATTTTAATTAATACACTTTTGATTAATAGCGTTGTTTGACTAAAAAAGGATGAAAATCCAGACCCTGAATAGTTAACCCATCTAAAATTAACATTCCCCTTGAGTAGAGGATCAACTTACACCAAATAATTATGGTTGCATCCCCTCTCACGGCCATGCACAAGATAATAAAAATCCATTTCGATTAAGCCCTTTCAGCTTATTCCATAGAGAAACACACCAAATGAATAATCATACAATATGCTGCACTTGGTGTATGTCTCCTGTTTGATGTGCATTGAATTAAAAGATAGCCTTGGATAACATTTAACACTCAAATTCATACCTTATTTAAGTTTATCAAATATATATCTTTATATTACATTTAACACTCAAATTCATACATTTTTTTTTTTTTTCAGTAAACGTAGAATTTTGACTTTTGAGATACCCAAAATAACCTTTAAAAACTAATAAATTCTAACTTTAAAAAAAAAAAAAAAAAGTTGAAAAGAATCCAAAACCTAACCTAACTCACCCCTCTTACTATTTGCAACACAAGGCTGAGCCACCACCCTTCGTCCCAGCTTCATTCGTAAGCTCCAACCCCCTATTTCCTCAGGTTGTCAGTCGCCATGGTCGAGGAAGCGGTTGGTTAGGTTTCTATGCAAGGCATCCAACGCCTACCGTAGTGGAAGAATTTTTATGGGTATGTTCGGTAGTGATTTTAAAGTTCAAAATTAATTCTCTAGCCATTTACAGTTGAAATTTGTGTTCGGTAAAAATTATAAAAAATAATTTTTAAAGAATTTACAGTCAAAATAAAAAACAGCCTAAAGACAATTTTAACTTTTAATTGTGCGGTAATCACTTTGAAATACAATTAATGAAATTTTCATAATACTCTTAAAATTAATATTTATATAATTACAATTTATCAAAAATTCAACTGTTTTTTGTAATAACTGTTTTTTTTAATACAGCTAACAATAATTTTTTTAAAATTTACAGCACTACCAAATTGGCCATAGGCCGACCTTGAAAGGACCTATATGTGAAACCCCATTGGCCGAATAGCTCGTCATTTGGGCATTCTCTCTCACATGACCTATTTTTACCACAAATCAACCAAGAATTCAAAACGAAAGAAGCTTGGAAGTGGGTAGTTCAAGGAGGTTTTATTGGGTGAGAACTATTCAGCGTTTTGCTTTACACTACATAATATGTTTGGCAATATTTGTATATAGGTTGTGGTGGGTCTTGTTGTTGTTTTGGCATTTGTTGCGAAATGATAAGCTCTACAAACTTATTTTAATTGGGTCGTTCACTTCGCTGATTCGAATTTATAATTCGAGTTGATATGTAATTTTATGTGAGAGTTTTTTACTGTAGCAAAAAAGTTAGATGTGACTGTTTATGAGAACTTTTTATTATAGTAAAACTTAAATTTTAAACTCAAATCGATAAAGTGAACGGAGAATATCCCAAATGCTGCTTGGTTACTATAATGAATTTGCAGCGTTGTCTTCTTATTCTATGGGAATAGAGGAACCGATGGTGGTTTTTTTCCTTCTTTTTTGTTTTTTTAAGTTTTATTTATTTATTTATTTTTCTTTCTTGTATTTAAGGGTATTTTGGGCATTTTTTAGTTAGACATAAATGTTGACTGACTGAAGGTGTAGATTTGTGTATTAAATGCAATTTGAAGGTATAGATTTGAGGAGATTAAAAATCGAAGATATACTTTTAAAATAAGTTTAAAATATAGGGTTCAAAAAGGTAAATAACCCAAAAAAAGTAACATAAGTTTTGAATGAAAAGAAAATGTGCTAAGACGGGTATGCATTCACTTTTGCTCCTCCTTATCTTGAACTTCAGCGTCTAAAACTAATTTTTCTATTTTCTTTTCATCTATTTTCTTATTGATAGAAAATTATAAGTTAAAATGCGTACTTAAGAACCTGCACTTGTAGCTTTTAAAGGCTAAATAAGGAAGTTCTTAGGCAGATAAAAACTGACATTGATAATATATTTATTATCGCCTGAAGTAGAACCTGCACTTGAGGCAGAGGGTGTTTCGAAGGAGTTGCAAACGTAAGTCTCGTTTATTTCACTAATTCGAGTTTTTAATTTTAAGTTTCTACAGTTAAAAATTTTAAGAAAATATCGTATCTAATTTTTTCTGCTACAGTTAAAAACTCTCAGAAAATGTCACATCTCAGCTCGAATTGAAAGCGAATGAGGCCTATAATTCTTGTGGAGTTGGATTTTGTCTCCTTTACAAAGTTACGTGCACGCCAATTGGATAAAAAATAAACTAAAACATAACATTATGCACAAAAAATCTCCCCAGATTGTTTGGTACAAACAATGGTTTAGAAACAATATGCATCGAAGAACTAAGGCACGTCACGTAGTTAAAAAAAAAAATAAAAAAAAATAAAAAAGCATGTCCTAATTATGTTGACACTAACAATACAACTAAAAGCCTTGACATTGCCAAATCTTTCTTGATGAACAATTCCATAAATTAGTCAATTTGTGTAAATATTTCTCCCAGCAATAGCGCCTCCCTCTTTGTTAGGCCAGAAAGTGGTCATATCCGAAACAATAGTTGAAGATCCATTCTTAACTATTGTTGCATAAACTCGTTGCATGTTAAAAACATGTTAGGCTTTGACTGCCCGGCTTGACAACAATCCTAAAACGTGAAGTAGGAACTTCAGCTACTATAGTTGTGTTTCGCGGCGACGTGGAAGGCGGCAAGGCAGCAATTTTTCGTATGGGAAGTTCAGGGTGAGAAACAAGGGATAGGTGCGAGGAGGAAGAGAGACCGAGTGCAAGGAATGTGCCGGTGAGGCCTAGCGCGAGGAGAAGCTCGGGATTAAAATGGCGATGACTCGATGGCTCCTTCGGCATGCCAAAAGCTTTTTAAATATGCTTTTCTAATTGCATTATTTTCTATATCGAGCTTGGTATTTCTCTATAAGATCTTTAATTGTATAATCTACTTTGTGCATACAGCGACATAAACGTGACAGTCCCAAGCAACAGCTATATAATTTGTGTTGATAATTCTTGCCTAATCTTTTTGGTAAAAGATAATTCTTATGCAATTCAAACATAAAATTCCTTACAAGGGGTTTCGTCTTAATGACGTACAGAGAGATCATTACTATCACTTCTCAGGTTAAACACAATGTGTGATAGATCTGTTAACAATCCAGAGGAACACTGATACAGATTTCTCCTACATCTGCAGCTTCATGAAGCTCGATTCTCGATCCAATCAAAAGGCAAGCCAGATGAAGCAATTAACCTCTCTTTACAGGCCTTTGAACATAAGACTTGTTGGGGTCTTCTGTCTTGAGCTTCGGAGGCCGGATTTCTCCTTTCTTGGCCTGAAAGTTAAAGAATTAACAACGCAATTTTCACATTTAAGCACTAATGTATTGCTCATATTAAACCACAGCAGAGTTTATCTCACCTTCTTTCCAGATTTCATAAAGTCTCTCCAGCTTGAAACCTGATAGAAAAATACGAGGGAAGATAACACGACAATGAGACAGAACTAGATTTACAGGAAAAAAGAGTGATAGAATGGACTACCATTCTAAACCGAAGATAAAGAAGATACAGCACAGAGAAAAATACAAAGTCATCAATTAGAGATGGTAGAAGTAGGAAGCTAATGAAATAACACATAAAAATTCATCATTGGACAAACCAAATTATGCGCTGTCAGATATCGCAAAACTGACTAATATGCCAGTTTAAACTCCCCCGGTGCTATGGTAGTTTAATTAAATATGGACTCTACCAAATTTTTTATGCTCAGGTGATGTGACAAGTGAATTGTTGTTTCTAATTCGGAAATCTATTTATAGAAAGTTCTAGACATCGTAATTTACCTATTGAAAACTAAATAACTGATTTAACATGTCACTTGGTAAAACACGAACAATTTACAAATTGAAAATCAATAACTCATTTAACACGTCACTTGGTAAGACAAGTGTGATAGATTACACGGGGATTCATAGCATGATCCTTTGAATATTACATTGCTTCTCTGCCACTTGTATTTAAAACCATGAAAGCTCAAATAATTGGATATTTGACCAAAAACAAAGAACTCAAGAGTCAAGACCTTTTAGTTTGGTTTTCAATGTCATCGTGCTCCTAAAAGCAACGCAGCCCTTTAAGAGCTAAACTAACTTGTATGCACTATGTTGAAATATATGCACTATGTTGAAATATAGATTATCTTACAGACAACTTTGCGGATGATATTCATGTGAAACCATGATTATGGATAACTTTGTGGATGATATTTAATTGTGGAGACGTACTTATCCCACGCATCATAAGGTTATGACACATAACAACATTGCATACACTATGTTGAAATGTGAATAATAATAGATTAACATTTAATTGGGAGATCTAGAGACAAACCCTTTGTTCTCTTGTTCCTTCCCACTGTTCCTCATGCTCACGCTTTCTTTTCCACATCTCTTTGGTTTCTTCTTCATCCTTTTTCAACCTACCTTCCTCTTCTGATATCTAGATGCCAATAAAAGACACCGAGGTAAAGAAAACATGAATACTTAGAATAGCCAAGGGAACGAACATAGCTGAGAGTTCAGCATACCCTCATTTGCATTTTTCTCCTCCGCCATTCTTGTTCCGTCAATATTTCTCTAACCTTTAACTTCAGTTCTTGCTTGAACTCCTCTGACTTTTCATAGTGCTGGTCATACTTCCCCTGTATCGAGTCAAAAGTAAAATATATATCTATATATCCATGGATACACACACATATATATACTGCTGAAGTAATACATGCTTCTTCAGCAGG